GGAGGGATGTCTGAAAATCCCAGCCCCTGCCTGCAGGTGGGTTATTAACATCAGAGGAGAGTTGAGAGGCAGTGGGGCTAGGCAAGTTCAGTGTTGTGGCCACCTGAGCACAGTGTTAGGGGCCTGGCATGGGAGTAGCCACCTGAGTCCCATAGGGTGAAAAACCACAGTGGCCCCAGTGAGGGGGAGAGAAGGAGAGAGAGAGAGAAGTGGTCCAGTGAGGGGACCGAGAGTAGGAAGCGTCCCAGGAGAGGGGCCAGTGCCTGAGTTCAGCCTTGAGTACAACATAAGGCCATGAGGCATGTAGAGTAAGGCCAGAGAAGGTGGCTCGAAGTGCTGCTTGTGCCCTCGGTTAGAATGCAAGTAGGTAAAGCCTGAAGTGCTGCATAGAGTAGGGACCAAGGTGCACCTGAAGGGCTGCGTAGAGTAAGGCAGGTTAAGGGTGGTCCAGGAGGCGGACAGTACATGAAAGGCCTGGTGAGAGCAGGTGGTGTACAGAGGTCCTTGTCAGCAAGACCTGCTAATGGACAGGCTCCCGCCTTAGAAACTTCTCTAATATTTGTTACCAGCAAGGCGTGGCAGGTGAGCTAGGTGGGTGGTTAGCCCAGGGACAGCTGGGAGGCTGACATTCTGACCTGGGCCTGAGATGGCCCCCTGTCACAGTACTACCTACAAGCCCTAACCCAGGGAGAGTTCTTTTAGCCAAACACTACAAAAGACTTGCATCAGGCTGCAATCCCAGCTCTTCCTTGCAAGTCCTAGTTTAGGGATGGCATGTCAGGGATAGGGGCCATACCATGCAGTCTCTGGTAATGCTGCAGCTTAAATTATGTGTAGGACCTCATTAGCTCCAGGAACAGCCAAGGGTCAGGGTGGCAGAAGACACCTAGTTTTCCTGTGTTGTAAGTTCTATACCAGTGATGCTCAACCTTTCCCCTGATAGGCCAGATGGACATTGCCCAGTTCATCCACAGACCAGATGTGGCCGACTGCCCTGATCTAGTGCCTGGGGTGGGCATGGTATGGCCTCATCTGGTTGTGCGGAGGGGGTCAGGAGAGGGGAGGAAGCCCAATGTGTGTTTGGGGGGGCAATCCCAAACCAGCCCTGTGAGGGGCAGGGAGGGGGAAAGGGGGCAAGGCCCAGCCCCAATTCCTTCATGGAAGGATGGGGTGGAGAAGGGGGGCCTGGCCCTAATTTGGCTGTGTTGGGAGTGGGGGCATGAGAATTAGGCAGTAGGGGAGGATGGCCAGTGTTCCACGTCACCAAATTTCTCAACCCACAGGGAGCCCACAGGCCAGATGCAATGGCTTGGCAGACTACATTTTGTCCTGCAGGCCACAGGTTGAGCAACCTTGTTCTACTCTATACTTCACAAAACCATAGACTCATAGAAATGTTGGGCTGGATGGGATCAGGTGTAAACCATTCCACCCATTTTGCCTTGCCTATTCTTAGAAACTCGGCAAATAATCCTCTCACATAACTTCGAGGCATAATGCCCAAACCATCAGACAGTGAACACAGACTCTCAAGTCAGCAGCACAAACCTGTATTTAACAGCTAAATTAGGTATCCTTATACAATGTTACCTGTCTTATAGTATCACCTTCCTGATTGCTAATAGTTATCGTTTTGTCTTCACTACCTAGTGCCAAGAGGTTTTCAGTACTCCAGCATCCACATGTGATCCGCTTGGTGTGTTTACCTGAAAAATAAAAATAAAACCCCCAGAATATACATACAAAGGACTTCAGGACAAGTAAGATGGTCATCCAATTCCTTATCTAGTCTGTGATTTTTACAATATAGCCTGACTAAAAAAACCTGTAATGAGATTTTAAAAAGCAATGTTTTTAGTTCTTCATAATAACCCCAGGAAGACTGTATTTGTATGCTATATGGGAACTTAAGGACCCTTATCTTTGCTTTTAATTTTGGGGGCATTTCATAGTTTCATAGTTTCTAGGGTCAGAAGGGACCTGAGCAGATCATCTAGTCCGACTAAAGCTGTAATTTTTTTTGCCTGAAGGAGACTTAGTGTACATTTAAGGACAGGGAAAAAAAGATAGTTTAGCAACATAAAATATCACCACAATCTTTTCTCGCTTAATTCAAGTTTTCCACATGGAAAACTTGGAATTCCCACTAAAGAATTCCAGAACAGGTTTACAAGCCAGTCCCTGTAAGAGCAGGGAACCAAAAGTAGGAGACAAGGGAACATACCAGAGTTACAAATATATATATTACTATATTTTCATGCACAAAAAATTGAGTAAAATTTTGTTCTTGGGTATATAGATCAAAACCCAAATGGACTTCAGTATGGAACATACCAAGAACAGGAATCTTTCGAGAAGTCTGACAGTTATAAATAAGTAAGTTTCCTTTAGTTGTTCCAACAGCGAGTAAGGTTCCAACTCTGGACCAAAGCAAGAAAGACATTGAGTCCCTGAAACACAGAAAAAATAAAATCTTTGACATGTCATCACACTGAGATTATTTTTAAACTTGAACATGGTTTTTAAGACAACTGTTTTATATTCACATGGAACTACATAAAGCAGAATTTTTTTATACGTGTTTTAGAGAAAGTTTACCAATTATGCTTAAGCATTCACAGAATAGCTACGAACTATGCCAAAAAGAAAAAGCATTGGTTTATTTTATGTACAGGCATATCTCATTTTATTGCGCTTTGCTTTATTGCGCTTTGCAGATAGCGCGTTTTTTACAAATTGAAGGTTTGTGGCAACCCTGTGTC